TAGTACATTACAAATATACATGTATCGCGATATTTCAAATATCGTAGTGACTGAAACATGAGGCGGCCTGGTGCAGCACATTCAGTTGCCTGAGAACATCATAAACGAGAGATTCAGCTGGGTTCCAGGTGAGTCTCTCGAAAGAACCAAATTAGTTTGCAGATGAGTGTATATTTGCTTCTAGTGTAGTTCGCAAGACTCGTCATTTTGTTACACTTCTTCAATCGTTGACCGCGTCCATGCTTCCGGAGAACACTGTAAATGGCTTTCTAGGAAACATCAGCTACTGATTGTATTTGTAAGATGTCAGACCATAGATTTAGAGTGTCTGTTCTAGCATTCTTTTTACCCACTATGACAGAACCATTACACTAACGAGCGAGGTCGTACATTGGAATAAAGGTAAGGGTGCCTGGCAGGCCCGCGGGGGCAACTTCGCTAAGGATGTAACACAGTTACAAAAATCTAGTGATCAAGGCCAATGCTAGTCTATTTGGGTCTAAATTACGGTAATAACCACATGTGGAAAGGCTAAACGGTTTAATTTATCAAGAATAAGATTATAGAATGGAACCTACGAGCAAGATGCGCTTGCTTTGTGCTCTGTAAAAAAATTCACGGGTGATTTCCCGGGTTCTGATGTTCAGTATAGTGAGATTATTTTATCCTCTAGTATATGATACATCCCAGTTGCTTGTGTTCTAAAACTGAATACAGTTCCAGCTATGAGCTAAGCAGGAAAAAAAGCCGATTAAGGACTTTGCAGCGAGTACAAAGGTACATGCGTTGGACATTCGTTGGTGTAAACATTAGCTGTATATATTACCTCTGATCAGCGCTGTCTTTGCTGAAGCGTTCACTTCTCACGTTTGTGCAAGCAAGCGTAGGCTGTATGCTACATGGTAAATATGAAGAATCGTCCAATAAACTTGATATAGGCGACCTCACGCGCCTAATTTACTAGACAGATTGTCAGATTCTTGTTCTTGCTGGCCTGAAATAAGGTAGTAGCTGACTCTTCTGGACGAGCAACAAGTATACATCTAGGTTCGATGCAGTGGAAATAGCTCAGTCAAGACCAATTGCTTTTCTGAAAACAATTCTGCCCCCAACAACCGTTGAATGACATCCCCAAAGCAGGTAGTACATGAGTAGTTTTACATGGTTGTTTATAAGCTAACTTGGTGTCCACGGAAAAAAGTACATTTGGCTAGACTGCGTCCATCTTGCGAACCTCAGAGAAGCTGCCGATAATTTTTCAGCAACCTTTTAAGCAGTGCCGCGGTAATGAGCAGGCCAACTGAGGCGTACAGAAAAACTGTGCTAGCAACCGACGATATGCTGGTTAAACCGTACCAAGGGTATCGCACTTTCAGGTGAAATGCTGGTAAATTATTCGCTGCTACGCTCTCACTGACTGACCAAACGTGACTGGGGCATTCCTTTAAAAAGACATTGTTCCATCTTCACCAAATTCATAATGATTTCCCGAAAGCCTCGGACTCGGAGTGCAGTGGAGCTCAAAGTCAATAGAAAGACGTTGAACGTTCAAAGGAGGTAAGTGAGAAGAACTGCATCGATTGATAATCAAAATTATCTTTTAGTAACAAGAGCATATAATCAGGTATACACACCACTCGCTAGCAGCAGCACTACAGTACAACACCCAGGTAAACTCAGACAGGACTGGACAGCCCAGTGCTTGTTATGTAATTAAATCTTACTCAGCAGATAGAGAGCATAAAAACATTCACAACTTGATTCGGTTATCGGTTTCGCTGATTTGAGTGGTGGAGTGACTTGGTTGGTGATTGGATGATAGTGAATTTCCTTTTATTTGAGTTGAAATAAAGTCGAATCACATTTCAGATAAAATTCCCGTGAGAAGAAAAAAATTAGGAGGAAGAAGAAAGAAATCAATAGTGGCGCGAATAACTTTTTCCGGCATTCCTTTGTTATTGTTCTTGTGGATGATGATGATGTCGTTGTTGTTGTTGTTGCTGAGGAGAGAAATGCTGGTGATGCGGAATAAAACCCAGAGAACATGGGCAAAAATAAAACATCTTTTGGAGCTCAAGTTTGAGCCAATGCATTCTCTCTCACCCTCCTGATGCTGAGTGCGGTTCAAACTTCTAACACATATTCAGGATTTACGTAGGAAAATCCGGCGAACTCTGTCTGATCCAAATTCATTATATACAGTTTATCTGTTGGAGTCATTTTTGGTGCATCTTTGGTAAATTCTCTGTCAAAGTTGCTCACGTCGCGCTTGTCTTTCTGTAACAGAGAACAAACGCAAGATGTATTGGATAAAGTGGTAATAAAGTTCGATAAATAACTAGATCGACGGTTCTCACATTGATTAGTCCTCTTATTTTATATGGAAAATCAAAATAATTTGACGAGGTTCCAACGTCTTTAGGGAAACAAGTACATAAGTGCGGAAATCGGTCATTAATATTTACGCCGGATGCATGCGTCCAAATCATTTCATTGTTTAATATTTGAGTAAATTATGCTAGTGTTCTGGGCAGAATTTCCTCTCTCATGTAGCAACCCACAGAAATTGAACATTGCAAAAAATTGTGCATGAGGAGGGTGTACTTTTAGTCACAGCCATGTTAGTCCGACAACCACGGTGAAAAAAGCGTCTAGCTGTAGCACCCTTCCGTTGCCTAGCTGCCATGCCACCCGAAGGAAGCCGAGGGCTGGGGATACTGCCAAGTTGTCCAAGCTTAGACAGGGGAAGTTGAGAGGCGAAGGTCGGACCTTCCGGTCAGTAAATTCACACTCTAACCAGTTGGGCCATCTCTCCCAATTACGGTTCGTACAACGAAACCAGTCTTACGTTTTGGACAGTGTTGTTCGAAAGCCTGTACCTGTGGCGGCTTCGCTCTTCATTTAACCCGCCAGAATGATGAACCCGTTGGGCGATGACAAACATCAAAAATCATTCGGTGCCAGTGTTAATTTTTTTCGCTATGGATAGCCTCAGATGCCATTCATCCACTATATTGCTTACATGTATATATGTATGCACCTATATGATTACCCATAAAAGTACCAGCTCATCCAATCAAGAGTTATTTCCAACTCATCACATTTGCCGGTGAAACGGTGTTCTCAGCTGACAAACCGTATCCCTTACACAATTAACTTACGGTGGAGGTACGAAAGCAGTATGTTGCAAATCGAAAATCTGCTATATCCTGTGGATACACTGCATCGTTCGATTCACTGTTGTAGGACAGAACAAATGTAGCGTAAATCGTAATACTGAGTGTTTGGTGTGGCAATACATCAAAAATGCAGTCTCGCGGGACTTCAGCTATGCATACTCAACTTCTGTGTTGCTTTTTCCCGAAGACTTTTCATCGCCGTGGAGTATGTTGCTTACGCCATTGTATCCAATGAGTTAACAGCCTCAGAAATATTCAGAGTAAGATTGTGCGCAGGATCCTGCCCACCACTGAGGCTACCCTTCATACAAAAATGTGTGTGACAGCACTAAAGTTCTGAGTTTCCGTCTAACTAGGCAATGTTAACTTTGGTCACACGATCTCCTAATAATCGATCGGCGGGTCTGGATACCAGCAAGACCAGTTCAAAGTCACTGCACTAATAATCCTACTCAGTTTCATACTACTGTTTATCACTTATGTGCCCCTTTGTGACGGCCACTCTTCTTATAATGTTTATTTGTTTCTCTAAATCATTTAGGAATCACTCACTGTTGCAAATGTGTTTTCCTGTTCCATATTGTGACCAGTCGCACACCCCAAAACCCCTTCCGTAATGAACATCACATGTTCGTTTGCTTCTGCCAGTGCGCTATTGTCGAATAAAACCGTTTAAACACCCAAGCATAAACACACATGTATGAACACAAGCACGGTCTTGCCAACCAAAACCAGTAAACATTCAATCTATCGCAAGCCACTCGTCCGATTCAAAGTACCACACATCGGTTCTTCGCAAAATCATTTGACCGCTTTAGAGGCAGTGAAACGGAAGACGGTTCTACATCAAATACAGCGTAAACAACAACAAACTGCCAATTTGCAAATGGGTGCATTTCACCAACACAGGTGGTCATTGTTACCTATGGGCTCTAGACAGTGGAGATGACACGTCCGAGGTCTCTTGGAGACTCACAATCCATACTGATTCTCCCTGTTCAGGGCCAATTATGTCAACAATAGACAAAATCAGATGGGTCAGACTCGTCCAAGGTTGTAATGCTAAACTTGAGCTTTCGACCGACTGAATGACGAGTGGGCTTTCTCCGACAAACATCAAAATGAACCAAATTGATAGCAACTAAAAAGATCAAGATCTCTACTATAGTAATTATTTGAGCGATTTCGACAAGCGATGGATGTGAAGCATAGCCCTCAAAAGCCGCGCTAAACCTTGAGAAGGTTGCACTAATGTTGACTGAAACCGCTCGCCTATCAGTTGCTGTCACCCTTATATTTTAAGCGCAAAACTATTCCGGGAAACTCCTGATGATATGTTGGACAGTTGGGCGACATTTGAACCGTCCACGTACGCCTGACTCGGGAGTATGAAATGAGTATTACAGCGTTTGCCAACATACTTCGCCTTAATAATTAATGCCAAAATCTCGTTACCAGGACAAAGTTATTTTGTCTCTGCTTTACACCCAACTGGTCATTTAGAGTTTCATTTATCCGTGTGGTTTCCATTAATCCCCCTTATTTCACACAACATTCCCGCAAACATCAATTTCATTGGTGGTGATGGTATAATTAGCTTTGAACATCCAGAATCTGGACGATATATATGGAATGACGTAATGGTCTGTTTCAACTCTCAGTGAGATGGAACCAGTTTCAAGCTTCGTTTTGACAATCAGAGTATTAAAACACTCTTCTATCACACTTCTGCCCTTCTTACCGAACACGTTTCATTTTTGTAGTCAGCTGCATTCGCTTTTTGTCCAAGCTGTCAAAATCGGGAACGCGTGACGTTTTCCCCTAATTTCTCGTGTAGGAGCGAACGAGACACAGCCCCGGTCTGTAGTGAACAGTCACCGAAATCAGGGAGTAAAGTTTGCTGAACAAAACGTGACCCCCGTCCGAATTCAGATTACTGTACTGTTCACACACAAAATTATTTACACACAAATAAACCTTGCATTAAATTGTCATTGCTTTAACACCGATGGGTAAGCATCCATAATTTTGAATGGCAAAGTCTGGTTCTGGCAAAATTTGACTGCAAATACATGTCTCTCCAGATAAAATACTTCACAGCTGAACATAGATCGTCGATTTTACTTTGAGACTGACCTCTAAGAGTTATATCTGTAGCTTCTTGCTCAAAAATTCATTGCAAACTTACAATTTTCGGTTTGAACGGGGGTTGAACTTGCCGAGACGCTAATTTGTGCCAATCGATACGCCGATAAAACTGGTGTTCACGAATATCCCGATCACCATATGGTCCACAACCCAAACGTTCTTCAGGATTTCTGGTTAGTAGCTGAAGGATGGAATGTGAAATAGGTCAAATAATACTACGTCATAGAATGCGGTTGAAGTCAATCAGAATTGGAGCAGACCGAGAGGGTTTTGCCAACCAGTTTACAGCGCAATGCCGGAATATCATTTTGGGACTTTAAGAACTGCTTGACTACTGCAGTGAACTGACAAGACTGGCTCTTCACTTGCATTCCAAACAGACCATCACGGCAAAATCTCTTCGTTCATTCGGCACGTCTCACCAACCTTGCTCATACCACCTTTCTTTTTGATAGCTGAACACATCCGAATTTATCGCTAATGCGCTGCGATCAACGTAACGAATTTCCTTCTGCCATAAACGGGAATAGCCAGAAAACCATTGGCGACTGAATTACCGTGAACCAAGTGCACAGAGGACAGGAAACGGCAGACCACAGTCAGCATCCTAGAGCAAGAGGTCATCAACGTGGCACTTTTGTACTTTCTCGAACTCCTTCATGATTAGTAGGGAATGGGGAATAAAAACTAGTCAGGCACAATTACAAGCGGTTTCACGACACACAATCATTTAGAAGAAATAAATGCAGCACACACGTTGGAATCTTTGGACCCAAAGTTAACCAAATGTGTACTCGACTGGGGGGACATGGAGGAAAAAGTTTGGGCAATCCAATTCCTGCGAAGTGTTATTTGTTCATCAAATACTCCGTCGGGGCGTCATGAAACACGTGATAAACTATATGAGATGGCTGTCGATGCACTACTGATAGCCAGTCAATCAAAAGGCTGTGGGAATTCCTGGAAGGTGGAAGGTGGTGGTGCACGGATCCCTTTGGAGCGTACGTACTAATAGTAGGGCTGTTTACATCACACAAACGTACTTTCATGCTATGGTTAAACACCTTCCGGTTATTTTATCTCATCAATGTCACAAAAAGTACTCAGTAGGGAGTAAAATTTCTTGTTGCGAAATAAGAGGGTGGATGTCGCGTGTGGTCTAATTTGTTCTAAAAATCCATCACCATACAACTAAGACTAACTAGAAGTTTGATGTCATTAAAAGCTACCTATTCGTCGAAAATTGTTACTAAAAGTGAACGCAGTTTAGTTAACGCAGTTAATCGCAGAGTGAACCTTGTGTGTCAGACATGTCACAGAACTCATAAGTTTCCACTCGGTGGAAAAGCTGGGTGTAAAATTTCATCAAAACACAGTGTCTACAACAATAAATGGATTGATAACTTCTATCCTTGAAAACGCCCCCGAGTACTGAATTACGTATCTTCCCTGTGGCCTACACCTTACCAGACTACGTCTTATTTATCGGACACTTATGAGGGGATCATACAGCACATCTAGGGAGCTGACAAACTGGATAGTATAGAATCATTATTAAAAAACACCAGTAATCAATGCACTCACAGCTCGACAAATCAGACACGCTTCACGGGACAGATATTTCGGATAGAAGACGTCACGGCTTGTAATGTTTCGGAAAAGCTCCTCTTCGTCCTCTCCGTCGAACGGAGGCTGGAAGGAATAGAATATAGCCGTCACGAAACCCGTACAAAGGATTAGGCAGAAAATACATTGTACATTGACTGAAAATGAATTTGGCGTTCTTTGGTGCATTTACACAAAAACTCCGAGAATTTGTGTGCAGTTGGCAAGGCGAATGCTATCCAAAATGGTGCGGTGGTTCGTTAAATCTGACGATTTTGTCTACAGGGTAGACATCTTTGAGCGCCCCTTTATCGGAAGTGACTGAAAGTGGCTTTGATTACACTAGGCCCCTGAGCACGCAAGCGGAACATTATACCACATACGGTTGCATCAGAAAACAGGGGTGACCAGCACCCAAAAAATATGGATGGTCAGTGATGATCCAGTTCGGTACCAATTTGAAAACCACAGCTACGTAATGCATCATAGATACATCAGATCAGTAAGAGAAGTTTTCTTTGCTTTTCGGTGTAACAGCTTTAAATTAGAATTTAACCCATTCACACAACAAGCCCAAATAATTTCCTGCTAAGAAATGAAAATAAAAAGAAATGAAAGAAAAAATATGTTTAGTAACCTATCGCTCATCAACATTACTAATTAAATGAAGTTATTTGCGCGGATCCTAACCCCATATGACTGTCTTTAGTTGTGGTAGCGTAGATTACAGCATTAGGTAGAAAAGTCGGAAAGTCCATTGGAAACTCCCTCTGCATAAACACATGAGACGAGGACATTGGACCACAAATGACACCTAGACACTTCACTCGCTGCAACGTCAGGTTTGATGAAAACAGATAAGCTGCATCGAAACACGCCTGACCACGACGTCAATGTGGACGTTGTGCCCCTCGGAAGTAAAATGACGTAGAAGAGATCCAGCTAGATAGCATCGCTTTCGATTTGCCAGTGAGTTTTTTGCAAGGAACCTGTCACCAAATAGGACTACTGAGTTTGACACAAAGAAATCCACCCTCCAAGAAATGTATTGCTGTAGAAGTATCAGACCGGCAGCTGTCAAAGGCTGCCTTCTCTATGCATATAAATAGATAAATAAATAAATGAATGAATAAATAAATAATACATATCCTCAGTAATTCTCCGCCCTTAAAAAAGAAAACGATCAGTAGTCTGGTCGAGCACTTTACGCCGTTTGTAAATATACTGCAATCTACAGAGGCCAGTTGAAGTTTGCTTCATCGACAAGTTCAAGACAACTACGTTTTAGCCACTTTGTGGAACGCTCGGAACGTCAGACTCCTGCTGACACAAAGAAATCCACCCTCCAAGAAATGTATTGCTGTAGAAGTATCAGACCGGCAGCTGTCAAAGGCTGCCTTCTCTATGCATATAAATAGATAAATAAATAAATGAATGAATAAATAAATAAATACATATCTCAGTAATTCTCCGCCCTTAAAAAAGAAAACGATCAGTAGTCTGGTCGAGCACTTTACGCCGTTTGTAAATATACTGCAATCTACAGAGGCCAGTTGAAGTTTGCTTCATCGACAAGTTCAAGACAACTACGTTTTAGCCACTTTGTGGAACGCTCGGAACGTCAGACTCCTGCTCAAGCACTAAAAGTAGCATATGAGTCTGAAGAAACACACGAGAGGTCTTTCTGCTTTACACTCAAAAGTATCTTGCAAATGCACTAGAAGTTTCAAACCGATTAGAAATGGCCATAACCTTTACTCATCGACCTTGTCTGCCTACAACATATCGTATTCTTGAGCGACGATTCGCTAAAGGTGTTTCCTTTTGGTGATCGAATGGGCCAAGACGTATCACTAACCAAACGTATGAGTGACAGAAATGCTTCTGAATTTATTAGACCCCCATCTAGCATGATACCCAAGTGTTGAAAACGCCCAGAAAATTCATTCGTCTCCGCATTGCTAGGAAATCAGTTGTAGAACTCAAGACCGTGCATACGATGCGACCGTCCGACATCTATCTTGCGCCTTAAGTCTTTGCACACTCGAGCCGACAGGCGCATTGGAATTAAAGGGGCAGACTAACACTACGTACGGCAACCAACCCAAGTTGGAACAGTTTAGCGTCAGATGGATGTCTCAGTAAACCTCATCTTCGTACTATGCATTTGCAACATGATTCAGCGGCTATAACCACGGTGGTCTGAACACTAGTGCTGCAAGTCTGACTCCAAAATATTTGAAAAATTCACGCTGTTACTATCTTTGTCTAGATAGTGCACAATTGAGTAAGGGGAACGCAAAAACTGGTTCCCATAAATCTCCGATCAAGAATCATAAATCTTATTCGGGGAAGGTTTGGAAAATGTACGTCAACTTCAAATTAGGTCTGTAGACTTCAAATATCGTATCAACTAAACGGTAAAATTATTCGAGGAATGATGAATACATAGGTCGACATCATAAAGAAGAAGGCACTCACTTGTCCCGCCAACATTTCATAGAGTAGCACACCAAACGACCACCAGTCAACGGATTTGCCATATGGCTCATACTTTATTATCTGCAGAGGAAATCGGCGAATATTTTCAATACTTCAGCGTTGGAAACTTAGTTGTATACTTGTGAAGCTCTTTTAGTTGGTGGAGATAAATCAGATTTTTGTGAATATATGAACCATGAGATTTCAGTCGTGCAACCTGATCATTCATGGTGTGGAAAAGCCAGTCGCCACAAGTAGGTTCACCGTTAGGTTTATCAAAATGTGTAAACTACGGAAATGTTGTCTAGAACAGAAGACTATGAGTACAGCTCTTGATAGAGTAATTGGTTGTTGGGTGAGAGTTCCTGTTTGAGAACACAGCTACGTTGAGCCATACTGCATCCAGTTTCCGAAAAAGAGCTGAGGTCACATTCTCGAAGAATGCATTGGATGTTCAGAAACACGCAAAGTGGACATTAATAACGGGGAACGATTTGATCTGCAGTTTCTCATCCCGTTGATTAGGTATGTAACATTAAACTGGCCTCCAAGCGAATAAGCATGAGTGGCTGAATTGTGGTTATGGGTTATGTTTACCTGTGATACGCAGACACCTAGTTGAAGGCCGCGCTCATTCAAAGTTATTGGAGCCAAATTCCACAAAGCGCTCATGTGCTGCTTCAAGTATTGCTTTAGCTCATTACTTATAGTTTAACTGTGAAGAATGTTCTGTTCGACTTAAAGTTATTAAGTGTCATCAAGAGGCCAAAGTACAGACAGATGCGGACAGACGTCATGAGAGGAGTTAACTGATAGAAATTTTCCTCTGGAGCGCCCTTCAATGATGTACGTTATAACAAACAGTTCGAGTATGAATGATTAGTGACCCCAGCACACGTTCGCATGAAACCGGATATGATTCCACAAGTTCGTCTTCCAACCCGATATGGATTTGGGAGAATAGGCTCTTCGGATAAATTTTGAGAGACTTGTTACAAGTATTCACCAAACCTACAAGGGGCGTCTGCGTCGTTTACAGTAGGGGTGACGGCATGTAACTCAGGTAAATTTGGTCAGTCAACTTTCTGGTGAAGTTGATCACAATGACTGGAACGTGTAGAATGGTTGCCTTTAGAAATAGAAAGTTAAAAGGTGTCAAGTGACACGACGTAATTCTGGGGTTTGGTATTGGTCTTCCAAACGCTGGTCCAGAAATTCTTGGTTCTAATGTTGGAAGATAATTTAAGGCCCAACAGACCACTTTAGTTTGTTGCACAAACGACCTGCCGTCCCTCGATCGATTTTGCCTGTGAACAATTTTGAACAGTTGCTGGCGGGCTAACGAGCATTCTGTTAATATCATCTACTGAATACAATTAGATCCAGTTTCATCGCACTTATTTTTAACCCTTAGGTATCGATGCATGAGTCCAAAAATCCATCATTTGCATTAATGCACACTGCGATTAACAGCTGATGTTATAGTTCCTTCCTCTTGATATAAAGCTATTTATAAGTTTGATGTGAACTCTTTAACCATTAACGACTGGTCTCGCCCTTCATGTAGCGCACCAGACAGGCGTAGTCTCCAAATATCCGCCAACCTTATTATCCACTTGGAATTGATTGTACACAAGTGACGAAACACACTCCCTCATGAAATCGCTCCGTACTTTCAGGAGATTTAACCCAATCTCGACTGAATCTCTCGTTTAAGTTACTGTCCCAACCTTTATATGGAGACTTGTAGGTGCTCAGACACATAAGCTACCGAATGTTTCCAATTCAACAAGAAGAACCGAAAACATGTCTGTGTAATATAAATGTTTTTTTAGGTTTTGGGTTACGTAGACCTGTTGTACAAGCTTTCTAGCCCACGATTTCCTCAATGCTAGTGAAACCAAACCATGGGTCTGCTAAGACTGCAAGAATCACGCTACAACAAATATATATATATATATATATATATATTTGTTGTAGCGTGATTCTTGCAGTCTTAGCAGACCCATGGTTTGGTTTCACTAGCATTGAGGAAATCGTGGGCTAGAAAGCTTGTACAACAGGTCTACGTAACCCAAAACCTAAAAAAACATTTATATTACACAGACATGTTTTCGGTTCTTCTTGTTGAATTGGAAACATTCGGTAGCTTATGTGTCTGAGCACCTACAAGTCTCCATATAAAGGTTGGGACAGTAACTTAAACGAGAGATTCAGTCGAGATTGGGTTAAATCTCCTGAAAGTACGGAGCGATTTCATGAGGGAGTGTGTTTCGTCACTTGTGTACAATCAATTCCAAGTGGATAATAAGGTTGGCGGATATTTGGAGACTACGCCTGTCTGGTGCGCTACATGAAGGGCGAGACCAGTCGTTAATGGTTAAAGAGTTCACATCAAACTTATAACACATGACATGGTATGCAACAATAGCTGAGAAGCTGAAGAGATTCGATTGTGACACATCCAGATAAATTTGTTCAGTAAAACATAGATATGGAAGGCAATTAGTTTAAGTTGTGTCCAAACCAGCTGGGTCAGCTGCAGCAGAAACTGATAGACAAAGAAAGACCGACTAAAAAGCGATGGAGGCAGAATAACACAACCGACCGTTGGAAGATGATAGTTACTTAAACAAACCAAAGAACAATCGACGGGGGTCGATTGCGTTGAAAGAACTAAAGTGCAAGAGAAAGTTTGAGTGCTTGCTTGGATGAGAAAAAGCACGAACAATCGTGCCTTGGGGCACCACAAGAAGAAATGGCATCAAGCTTGAATAAACACTGGGTTGTAGAAAGGGCTACATGAAGAACGTGTGACGTGAAAATGCCATCTGCCTTGGTGACCGAAGTAGGCCGCTAAATTAACCCCCTATTAGAAAGGGAATTTGTAAACCGACCTCCTGAATGGAGTTAAAGGTGCGCTAACCTCATGCGGTTCGAAACTAAACGATTTAGACCCATTACAACAAGGATTTCTCGCCTGGTAACCCTGTTAAAGTTTGACGCAAGAGAGTAGGTAGGCTATCTTTGTAGACTGTTGTGCGTAGCTGCTGTGCTGCGGAAGCTTTCACCTCAAATATTCAATCCCTCAGTGCAGAATTCTAATGTTGAAAAATGCAGTAGAGAGTGAACAGGTCAGAAGTTCACGTCATCAGTGCCAGCTTATTTATGATTTTGTAAGCCGTACAGCTAGTGCCTTGTTATTCACAATTTAATACAGAGTTTAGCTTCCCTCTCTTTAATACCGAAATTGTTTTTCAACGTGAATAAAACGGTAATTGGGCGTTATCCGGCAGATTTCATTAACTTATATTTGAAAAATGACAAACCTCTGGTGCGATGTAATCCGGTGTTCCACAAAATGTGCGAGTTTTTCTTTCACCTTCTACACCTTCTTTACACATACCAAAATCCGCTATTTTGATGTGTCCTTCCGCATCCAACAGTATGTTATCAAGTTTCAAATCCCTGAGGAAAAAGAAAACAAATTCGTTTTAAACAGCTTGAACAAATGGAGCGAAATTGTTTCCGACGCCACCGAGTCCTCACTAACTTTTTTACGGAATATGTCTAAAAGCATATAGCTTATTCTGAGATATGATCGTGTGTGCCATAAATCATCAACGTGTAAAAGTTTATTTGGCTAGTAAAGTTGAAATTTAGTAGATTTAGCCTCACGAAATCAAAATACGTTTCACTCATAACTTGATGGTATAGTGGTTGAGAAGGTGAAAAGTAAATGGTAGCTGTGTGCTGTTGTGCATATACTGCATTTGTGAACATCTTGAACTAGACATGAATCTCATGAATCGCATTCAACGAAGTTTAAAACAAATTAAAGAATTGTTGAGGATCAAGCAAATAAGTTTATTTGGCTAGTAAAGTTGAAATTTAGTAGATTTAGCCTCACGAAATCAAAATACGTTTCACTCATAACTTGATGGTATAGTGGTTGAGAAGGTGAAAAGTAAATGGTAGCTGTGTGCTGTTGTGCATATACTGCATTTGTGAACATCTTGAACTAGACATGAATCTCATGAATCGCATTCAACGAAGTTTAAAACAAATTAAAGAATTGTTGAGGATTCAAGCAAATGTGCTAATCATCGTTCTGAATACATATACCACCTCAAAATGCTGTCGGTACTGCATTTTTCGCAAAACACTTGTGGCGCGTGGTGTTGAAAAGTTACGCCCATCGGCTAAACGCTAGTTAACGGCGAATCAGAACGCACCAACTAGACCACTATGTTCGTCATGTTCAACAATCTTAGCATTTCAAACGAAGCTTTGCTTGATTTCGTGTCCCTAATCTTGATCGGTTCAAAATCTTGCCGACTTGAATTTTTGATTCCCGCAATTTTGCCCATCTTTTCAACCTCGGAATTACGGAACACTTCATTATGTCTCTCTTCCTTGTGTACTACAAACGATATGACCAAAGTCATACATGCCACAGCTTCATCTGTTCTCCTCAGTAATTTTGAAGGGTCTTGATTGGAATTAATTTGTTTCGACTAGGGTTTGAGATACTGCTTCTTTAACGGGTGGCCTTGATGCACTGGTTTTTGTTTTTGTTTGATGCGCACAACGGAAATGTTCGCTGCCGTAAATTATGTGGGACTATCCCAGTTCTTCCAAAAATGGTTACTGAGAAACAATTGGTTAGCGAAACAAAACACGGGTTTACACTCCTAATTGCATGCATCTGTTCTGCGTTTTTCCATTCGGATGAAATTGCTCAGCGTATGAGCATCGTTTGTTTCGAAATGATAAAGGACATAAGGTCCCCTTCACATGGGCCTGAACCTACTTAAAAGTTGAAAAGCAGGCTGTCCCATGCACCAAAGTCAAACCCGGTTCCGAAAACAGGCAATAGTGGGATCGAGTTGAGGTGGTCATACAAGAGCGTTAAGATGACTGTTGGTGGAAACACCCACTATCTGACACTAGATGAATTAAACTTTGACAGATATCGAAGCCAACAACCGATGAAGACTAACGTTGTCTGTGACGTTTTACACTTTCTGTTCAGTGTAAGGTATACATATACTGATATGCGCAGCCGATTCGATATAGTGAGGTGCTGTGATCTACGTGATAACCACTGATACAACTCTACCCAACTAGGAAACTGTGTAGCTGTGATCAGACCGAGCTGACCCAATGGTGTTAAGTCAGATACGTCGTGCAACTAACAAGCTGCGAGGCCCTTTGCTGACTGCCTCAAGCGCCCCTCCCATATATTGGGCCGATGCAATTTTTTGTTGGACTAAATAACTACTCGTCCTCGGTTGCGGTCAATCGCACGAAGTAATCTTCAGTCGGAAGTAGCTTTTTTGCTCCCTTTTCTCAACTTCCGTGTTCGTAAAGAAAACAAAGCCAGAAAATTATTTAGCTAGTGTATTGAAGATTATAACTGTCAAACCAACATACATCATCTCCACCATTGCAATGAGGTTACGGAAACAAGACCGCACTTCAACACAGATGAAAACACTCAACTCATTGGGAATAACTTACCGATAAACGATGCCATGTTTATGGAGGAATTGCAGACCAATGGCAACTTCAGCGGAGTAAAACCTACAAGCCCAGTGAAAGAAAGGTGTCTAATGAACTTTTAAACTGTTTTGGTCACATAAATAAATAACAGCCACATTGAGTCAAGAGACAATTCATAATGGTATATTTTAAACCAGGATGGATGGGTAAGATGCAGGGGATCGATGAAAACAAAAGTTTAAAAATACCACTTTGGAAAACTGGATTGAAATATTTCGAAAAAAAGCAGTGCTTTGGAATGCAGTGTTATTTTCGCTGTTTTCACCAGAGGTCGAGAAACTAGCGTCTAATACCTAAGAAGCAGTAATAGGTGATTGGGGTCTTAAATTCTTAGCTAAATAAACCTTGAATACTAAAAATTCGATTAGTAAATACTCAGATTGCATAAAGTTAGTACCTAGAATGCAGTACCTAATTAAAGTATCTAGCGAAATTCTACGGAGCACCTGACAAACTTTCACTTACGTTCTTTCAAGCATTGAAATAAGAAAATAACGTCACTCATCCGCGATTTTAACCAAATAAGGCAGTCTCATTGCATGTGTATCAAATCCGAGATTAACAACCTCACTTTTGGGACGCGTATACCTCGTTTGGTTCGATTTTACTAGTGGTTTTTGCAAACTCCAAAATTATTTGCAAGCAAATTTATTTATTCTTCTTCTCAAGTTCTGTGAAATGAATATGTGAATGTTTATATAACTGTTTCACTCAGCTGGCCAAGCTTGTAAATGGTTTTTCTATCATACTCAGCTTGTTCCGTTTCCTGACCCCTCCATGAAGCCATGTATTCGGCTTTGCCGACAGACACCTTGTCATCTGAATAAACCGTCCTCAGATTTCACCTTGAATAAACCTTGTTATCTTGTGAGTGGAGGCGGTTACTATGTTGCGCAAAGGTTCGTCTTACATGAACCAAAAACTCAATGTATCATTCAGAAAGAAAACTCTTCTAAGCTTGTATTCAGTAGACAGATAGAGACTAAGCCACATTCGCAAATGGTGAGCAGAGTCAAGATTTGTTTAAATTAGGGAGGAAGGTAAACATAACACTGAAAATGAAATAGGAGTCTATACCAATAAAGGGACTATGCATTATTTTCCTGGAAATCATAAGACTTCCGTTCAGACGTGTCCGTTATCCATGGAAATCAAGCTTTTTCACACAACACAAGTAGGTTGGGTATCATCCTGAGATTACGTATCCGACTTCCGAATGCGAAGAATAATTTCTCTTCCTATTTCATCGAAGTATTTACTTGACCTAAGGACGAGGGATTGTTTGTCGAGGAAGAGTGTTTTGGCTAAGGATTATATGGTTTGTAAGGCAGAGCACACATGGTCAGATACTTGGTGTCGATATTTTCCAAAACCGGGAACTTTTCAACAAGATAAACAAGCCAGAACATGCTTGTTACAGGCTTGCATCAGCTATCACATGCGTGCACATTATGCACCAAGTTTTCACGAAGAGGCCCACCAGCACCCGTCTTTGGTGGAAAGTCCGTTAACGCAGCCGAAAGATAAAAGAAAAATTAACGGTACTTTTGAATCGCGCTGCTCTAATGCCCATCGTTGAATGCTTCTAAGACTGATACTTGTCATGATCACGACAGTTTGGCCAATAGGCCACTTTTGACCGCGGATCATTTATCCTAAACAAGTGGAATGTCTGATACTGCTAAAAACTGCCCACTACTTCTTCGCATGATTTTTCTCTTTTTATATTCAAAGAATTGCGCATGCAGCCCATAAGAATTGGTGTGAACCATGGTCCGTGTTTCATACACTTACTACGCCCAAAGAGCTCACAATTTCAAATGGATCACGCCACGTTCCGTTGAAATAAAAAGCAAAAGGACAGGGAAAATGCATTGAATTCGCGTGCTTTTGGTTTCAAAACCGGTGGGTCCAATCCAACAAACTTGATCCTTTAATGATTCCATGTACATTATTCTATACAGTGTGTTAAAAAGCGAGTGGGCTATACTAGGAGAAAAAGCGCAGAAAGGTAAAGGCTTTTAAATGAAGGAGCTAATAAGAGTTAACGTTCTGTTTTTGTCATGAAGAGATCGAGCCGAGTGATACACTCCATATGATAACGATATGATATGATACCATAACTTATTACTAACACGATCTTGGTGGTCCAACTTAAAAAAGTCAACCGCCCAACGTCAAAGTTTGCTGCTGAAGTATGGCTGAACCACGGATTAGATGGGGACCCGAGAAACCTAACATTAATGATAAAAATGACATTCCCATTCATACTATGCAATAAACATTGAATGGTATTGGTCATAGAAGCTCTTTCGTGATTTGATTTAACCTTATTTTCTCTTTTCCAATTCTAACAACTTTTCACATCTACTTTCTCCATACATGACTGATTTACCCGAAGTATTTTATCGTGCTACTCAAAAGCTTCCGGTCAGGAAACACCTTCTTGTCTAATGAAAGAGACAAGAGCTTGGTACTGTTTTTTTCGAGACAAAAACAACTACCATACCAATCGACTGTAAAATGATTTCAACTTCTTTCCATTTACAAATGCGCTTATGTTATCATACTGTATATTCCTCAGAATCCTTCTTGCAACCCTGCGGTTAATCATTCCACTGGACCACGAATCAGGAAACATTCTGGGAAATATAATGGGTATGAATGTTGTTAATTAATTTATTGGCTTTTTGTGATGCAAAGTAGAACAACGCAGTCCGTTTGGAAAATGACAGGCTCTCTGACAACGCTTTGCCAGAACAGACGACTTACACTGCCACTGGTTCTTTGAAGCGTCCCTCCTGCTGAATTCGGTACATAAGATCACCACCGTTCACATATTCCATCACGAGATATAAACGGTCCTGTGATGATGAGATAAGCGGAAGAG